CATCAGTGGCCATACATTCTTGTCCGTCTGCCATGCTATATTATTGGGCCGTGACACTCGGGAGGTGATCATGGGTATATACTATATACTTTATACAGGATACATGTGGTGATTAAAGACGGGTCGGCTTGTGGAGCACCCGCGAGTGATTCACGGATTGGGGGCTGAAAGGACCTTTGTCCCAACGGCTTTTTGTGTGGATCTTTGTGGCGAAGCGACAGGGCAGGTTGAGACCACCTAGGAGAGAGGTGGGCTTGGCCCTGGTCGACGTTCGCGGATACTTAACACGTTTAACGAGATCTTGGTATTTGATCTGAGTCTGGCTACTGGCCTATACGCACTAACCATCTACGCGGGGACAGTTATGGGCACTCGACGTCGTGGTATCAGTCGAAGCCTTTGTGACGTCAGCAACGGAGCGGCGCGCGCTGGATTGGACTGGAACGCCTACTAGGCTAGGTCTGCTTCCGGCCGCCCACGCAACGTGCAGGTGTGCTAAGGGCGATGGGCCCAGACCCCTGGGCGCTTAGGTTTAGACCGGCGTGCTGACCTCTCTGTTGGTCTAGGTGGGGCTGCGACATGTTGATCTTCCGAGGCCGGGCATGACCCAGGAAAGTGTGTCCGGCCAAATGGGATCGAGCGTGTTGGGATATGTGGTGCACCCCTGCAGGGAAGTTAATCTATTCGAATAGCCGTGATCTTCGGTAATAGGACGACTTGGAGTTGTACCTTGACCTTATGACAACTAGAACCGGATACTTAATAAAACACACCCTTCCAAGTGCCAGATACAACCGGTGATCGCTCTCTCACAGGGCGACGAGGGGAGGATCATCGGTTAGGGTTATGCTATGCGATGCTACTTGGAGGACTTCAGTCTACTCTCTTCTACATGCTGCAGGACGGAGGCTGCCAGAAGCATAGTCTTCGAAAGGACTAGATATCCCGCTCTTATTCCGGCATTCTGCAGTTCAGTCCACATATGATAGCCTTATTCCAGTTGATACCAATGCATACATATGTAGTGTAGCTCCTTGCTTGCGAGTACTTTGGATGAGTACTCACGGTTGCTTTCTCCCCCTTTTTCCCCTTTCCTTTCTTTCTGGTTGTCGCAACCAGATGCTGGAGTCCAGGAGCTAGACGCCACCGTCGACGACGACTCCTACTACACCGGAGGTGCCTACTACTACGTGTTGCCCGCTGACGACGACCAGGAATAGTTTAGGAGGATCCCAGGCAGGAGGCCTGCGCCTCGTTCGATCTGTATCCCCATTTGTGTTAGCCATCTTATGGCAACTTGTTTAACTTATGTCTGTACTCAGATTTTGTTGCTTCCGCTGACTCGTCTATGATCGAGCTCTTGTATTCGAGCCTTCGAGGTCCCTGGCTTGTAATATGATGCTTGTATGACTTATTTTATTTGTAGAGTTGTGTTGTGATATCTTCCCGTGAGTCCTTGATCTTGATCGTACACATTTGCGTGCATGATTAGTGTACGGTCAAATCGGGGGCGTCACACTGTGTCACTTATAGTGCACATAAAATCCAAATGTTATTAGAATTTAGCATCATAACAATTATAAACCAGTGGATTTGTTGATAGTTTCGGTTTCAACCCAATGTCAATGATGACCAAAGCAGGAATGCCAAGTTTGTCATGCAAAACACACTCTGGAAAACTATCTCGTACGCAACATGTGCTATGGGTTTTGTAGTATGTGTAGTGCAATGCCGATGATACATAGAGAATGTGCTTGGCATATGCGTTGCATATGGTAAAGAGAAGATATTTCTCTTTGGTGTCATCATAAGTTTCGCTATGGAAACTATTTTGACGGATACCTCTATAGTTTAGTAGGGTACAAGTTAAACCTGGGAAGCAATAAAGCATCCCAATGTTACTCGGGTACCCACAGGGATAGTAAATATGACTGGAGTTGAGCCAACAAATACCTCATCGCGTCTAGCGATTTTAAAATATCTCCTTTCTCTCAATGAGAGTGGAAACATTGGACTTCCCTGAGTATAGAGTTGTGGTGCATATGTCCACAAGGCACATAGCATTTTTCATCGGATTGACTCCCGTAGAAATCTATATATAGGCACGAAGATTCTCAATATGAAAGTCACTGTCAGATATATAGAATATATACAAATGTATTTGTACCAAAGTGCTGATACAATATATTGTGATATACAATATATGATGACAACAATACTTATGTTCTTATTAGAACATCATAAATGGACATAAATTATGTTGACCACTCAGGAGATTGAGAGACTAGACGAAGTCTTCAAACATGTTAGTTGAGTCATATTCAACCATCATATTCTCCATGCCCATAGGGTCCCGTCACTGCTGGTGATGTGGGGTTGAAGGTTGAAGTGAGCTCCAAACCTTTGCCCTTGAGGTATGTTGTGTCCTAGGAATTGCTGATACAGAATAACCAGATGCAGAGATCTGAATCGATATAATGCCTTATGATGTATAAGACAATATTTTTCTGTTAGCAGTGTGATGCCGACCAGAGGTTAATCATGTGGTCTTGGATTGCACACACTATTCCACAAGACACAAGAGTGATCATGATGTCCATGCCCAGGTAGGGTAGTGGTGGTGATTGAGGGCGAATGCCTCAAATTCTCTAGCCATCAGTTACCAGAGATAGTTAATTTATGATTAGTAAATTGAAGACCATCATGGTAATGTTGTAAAATTAATGGATATTTCAAGAAGTTATCTTGAAACCATTAATGTGAATCTCAAATTGCTAAGCATGACACCTTGAAGATAATCTTCAAAATGAAGTAGATCTCGCAGCACTAGGGAGCATAATCTGATGAAATCAGTAGATACTCACTCATAATGCCTTATGTCATGACTTAGTAAAATGCATGGGAGTGCACAATGTTGTGCAATCATAATGTCAAATTTGACAAAATGTAGGCTTAAACAGTAGTGGTGATAATCTGCAAAGCAGTAGATCTACACACTACCTCGGGATCTCAATACATCAATTTGAAGAAATCACTAAGAATTTTGCATATGTATTTGCAAGAAATTGAAAATCTCAATTGCAAATAGACGTATTAATCTCGACATGTAGCAAACATGGAGATACATACATTCCGGAATACATCGTACTCAACAGAAATACACCACTATTATAAATGAATAGTAACGATGTTGCAAACTTGATGTTCAAGTGAAAAAACTTGAATTATATACACCTCAAATTTAATGAGATGTTCTTGTATCAAGTTGCAAGATAATTCAGCAGAGTGAATTAATATTTTGCGAGAAAAAGAAATTTCTCAATCGCAAATGTTGTGCGAGAAAACTTAATCTCAGTCGCAAAACAATGTCGTTGTACTAGTAGGACATGTTATATGAATTGCTAAAAAGCAAACACATTGAACATGCCACATACAATAACCACATATTTTCTGAAATGTTACACTCAACAGAAAATGCAGTAATTAACAGGGTCTAAAACAGGAAAATTACACTGCTAGAACTGCTGTTAGATTTAAGCAAATAATGCAAATTAGCAGGAGCTCCTGGTGGCTCAACTGCATGCAAACATGCCACGTAGGGCAGCCTAGCCACGTGCAGCTTGGTCAACCGAACGGATAAGGAAGCGCAGCCAGGAAGCGAGATGCCCAGCCACATCGATCCCCAATTCACATGACCGACACAGGCGGAGCCCCTGCGGCCGGTCGGCCGCATCACTGGTGAGCGACGGGGTTCCTCTCGTCGGGGCCGAGGGTCTCGGCCGCATCGAGCCCTAAGGCCGAGTCATCGCATGGGAGGGAGCCGCGCGCTGCATCCATCGCCATCGATAGCCACGCCGCGGGAGTGGCTTCGCCGGGGAAAGAGGGCTTCTGCGGGTCGCCTTGGTCCGAGAAGTTGGGTCGTCGCCGTCCAGCCGCGTCAGTATGCCGCGGCCGCGGCCGCTGCTTCCCCTCACGGCTCTGCCGTGTCGCGCCAGCGCCGCCCTCGCTACTCGGAGGTATGCTGGCCGCCACCGCTTCCGTCAGCAGGCGCGCCACCGGAGGACGGGTCACGCGGAGGCGACGTCCGTGGCCGCGATGCTGGCGCTGCAGCCTGTGCAGGGGAGGAGGCCTCGCCGTTGGGGGCTGCCTCGATCCATGGGATGGCGCTGCACGCCATGGCCGGGGCGGGGCGCAAGACCACGGTGGTGGGCGCTGCACCGCCGCCGCAGTTGCTGCTCGTCGCCACGGCGGCGCGGAGGGCGCGAATCCGGCAGCGCGGACGGGCGCGACGCGGCCGAGGCGCGGCCACGGCCGGCGACGAGGGCGCGAGGCGCGGCCGTGCGAAGTTTTGAGGCCTGGTGCTCTCGGTTACCAGCGTGCTGATAACGTGTTGCAAGTCGATTTTAGAGCGAGAGACAAATGAATCGAACTCTTGATCTCTTTCATTAATGATGAGGACGCAACAGAGGGACGCGTCCATTCCCAAACAGCGCATCGAGGGATGCGGTTGTTGCGGAGGGACAGTTAGGACAAGGGGAGATTTCCCTTCAATTAAGTGTATTAATTAAATCCTAACAACATCATCTGTTGGAGATGCTCTAACAAGAAAGGTTTTGGAGATGCTCTAACAAGAAGGGTTAAAAGAAGCATGAGACTTAGAATGATACCACTGGATTTATTTAAATACGAATTCATAAATGGTATAACATGTGGCACATGTCCCCTACATTTCGTTCTTCAAACTTGATACTCCAAAAGCATGACTTATAAACTGGAGCGGAGGAAGTATCAATCAATTTAAAAGAAAGTACTCAGAACACTTGGAAGTATATTAAACATGGTCTTCAACAGAGATAAAGTGCAATCAGCTTACAAGTGCAGAGGTACTCAGTTTATCTCTAATAAAGACAGCACAATCCATTGTTTCAGAGCGCACCCACGCGAAATTGACGAGCTGCAAGCATAGGTCCAGCACACTGGAACACTTGTGCGAACCTTAATTAACCAGGGCCGACCTTTGGGATATCATAGTGCTCACTAAGATTTGCGAGGTACTGGTTGAAGTCCTGGATGCGGTCCCTGTGCGACTTGTCAGCCACCTTGGCCAGCTTGTGTACATCGATCTTCTGCTTCTGTTCAATGTAACGCCTCTCGGCTGGAGTGAGGTGGTCATAATCGGCTTGCGCACTCCCTTCCTCTCCCAGCTTGTCAGCTTCACTGAATTCATTGTCAGGGTCGCCTGGTAATTCAGAGCTTCCACCTGAAGAATAACCATCGAGTTAGAGATGTGATATATATTCAGCAGAAAACAGTTTTAGATTGCAAAGAGTTATGTAACACACAAAGACAGACACATAAAAGATGTAAAAATACAAACAGTCAAGTTGTCGGGCAAATGGACAGAGTATACCAAGCTTGCATACATATAATCAAGTACATAGAGCAACTTCTCTTAAGGTTCAACCACTCAGCAAATCAGCATAAGCACCGTGCCATTGCAAAGTAACAAGTTCCTATTTGACAGGCTCGGCTTTGTCCAATTTAGCCTGATTGCCCAAACATGGGAGACTATTTTCATAAAGGCTAGTCCAGAAGCCAATAATGTTAGCATCTTCTATCCGGTAAATCTGTCATAGCATTGACATGGAAATCTGACTACCTTCAGTCCAAGGTCCAAAGACATTTCACTAGAATACTGAATCTAACAAGTACCATCATCAACGAAAGACACAAGACATGTTCCTTCTTAGTTCGGAATTAGCTTGAGCTCACATAGATACAACCTCTAATCCCACTTACCAGACGCTCTTATATTATGGGACAGAGGGAGTATAACATTATTAGTCCCTCAAGTAACAGCACTACAATGTTTTTTTTATTCCTACTGTATTACCAAATCAAAGAAGAAATCATGGCAGCAAAACAGTGTTAACCAGCTAGAAAGCACAAACTATTAAGTAACCAAAAATATAACCCAACTGACGCCAAATATACATAGGGAAGCAAAGATGCATATTAAACAAGTATAAATGTTTGTGTTATGATCATCAATACTATATTCGATGGCGTGGACATATAGAACAAACAAAGATCACTTACTCTGGTCATCTATCAATGAACTAACCACCAGATGGGTCAAACCCATATCATTGTTCAGATTGCAACAAAACTATCATAGTACCAGCCCTACCACACACTAATGCTCATCAACACGTATTTATTTTAGCAATATATCCCATGTCGCAGGCATGCATAACAAGCAAAACATCATTTAGACAATGGTAATCAATCAACGACCTAAGCAGCAGATGTGTTAAATCAATCGTTTAGACTTAAGAGTGCAACAAATCGGTCATGATATCAACCCTAAAGCACACTATAATGTTCACTAAAAAATAAAATTACGTTAGGAATGTGAACCGATGTGTTTGGAAGGGGCAGCTTCGGTGTAGAAACGAGCATTACCTTCGCGGAGCTCGCTGTGCTCGCCTTGAGACGACTCCTCGCGGCGGTGCTTCTTCTTATTCTTCTTCTTGACTCCGCCCTCCTTGACATCCAGCGGTTTCCCCTTCAGTTTGAGCTTCCCCCCAACGACGTTCTTGTACTCCGACATCTCGCTGCAAACATCAAAGACCGAACAAATTCGAAGCGAAATTACATCCGACGTCCCGATGGTTTGCAGGGTAAAGATTTGTAAGCGATTACTCGTAGCAAACAACAACAGATTAATCTAGATTGAAAGCGATGGCGACGCGGGGAAGCTAGGGCTTACACTGCCTGACGGGAGGAATCGCTTCGCGGGAGCCTCCGATCCGCGCCGATCCGGTGGAGGACGGTAGGCACGGGGAGGAGGACGAGGAGTTCGAGGCGCTTCGGTGGTTGGCTCAGCGGCGACGGCGACGGCGCCGGCGCCGGCCGAGGGCTTGGCGGCGGCCGATTTGGGTTGGGGAAGGGGATTCTAATGGTGCGAGACCACCAGGGTCGGTGGGGCTGCTTTGGTCGCCATCCTTTTTTACCGTTGGGTCCTATGGTACTCGGAATCGGAGTTTTTCTTGGGCCCAGGTGTATTGACTGCCCGCATCACTTGGACGGAAGCCCAATTAACTGCGTGACGAGGTGAGCCCACGAAAAGGATTTACCTTTTGTTTTGAGGATTCAGTTTGTTTTATAAATGTACCGTAAGTCACGGTTTTTTTTGGCGAGACCGTAAGTCACGTTGGCCACTCTCTCTCGAAAAAAGTGTCATAAAAAAACTCTCTCAAAAAAAGTCACGTTGGTCACTCTTTTCTAAAATAGATATTTCTCTGACAAGTATTTTTGGACAGAGGAAGTATAATGAACCAGTCACAACACTCCATTTTGGGAGAAAATAGGTCACATAATGGTTCCAGATGTTTTTTTTGAGGGGAATGGTTCCAGATGTTGATGTATCCTGCTGATTAGGCTGCTTTTTGCAAATAGAACCCTGACTCAAATTTTGGAGTTGTCCAAAACTGCACGCTTCTTCCTATTATCTGCCCTTTCTCAACCCAAAACAAAACAAAACAAGAGGAAGTAATGCACTCTCTCTCTTAATAAAAGAGGAAGTAATGCGGATGTTAAAAAAAGAAGGAGAAATAGATGAAAGCATGCATATAAAAAAATAACATTTAATGTTATTATCACCACTAAAAGATAGGCAACATCAACTAATGTACGTCTAGAAAAGTTAGATTGCCAGTATCAATGGTTAGACTACTCCCCGCAAAAAAATGGTTAGACTACTAAGAAGTCTCAAGATTTTAGGAACAACAGACTATATAAGCATATTGCACAATTTCATGAGTTTAAAGTATAATTCAATACACAAATCGAGAAATAAAATGGGACACATTTCACCATCACTAGTACCTCGTTCCTTGTAACATCCCAAAATTCTAAATTTTGGAATGTTATATTAAATATATTATTATGCTTGTTTGTTTGATTGTTGTGTGATTGATTGTGTGAAATTGAGTGAAATTTGAAATTTTTTGAAAGTTGAATGAGAGGGAATGATATGACTTTCCCAAACTTTCACCTTTGCATCTTGATCTCCAAGAATTCAAATTCATCTCAATTACAAAAACCCTAGAGTGAAGACAACATGACTTCTTCCATTTGAAATGAAAAGTGGTTTTGGAGAGATTTGAATTCCTTTTTGAAAACACTTCAAAGTCATAAACTTTATGCAACTCAATGATCCTCATGAGAGGAGATAAAATGACTTCTTCAAAGATGAGTTGGAAGTTTAAAGGAATCAAAATGAAAGTCCATTTGAAGGTATTTTGAAACCTACTATCAATTTGGAGTTATTTGGCTTTTAATAAAATTATTTTCTCGAATAAATAAATAAATGGAAATAAGGGTAAAATGATTCCCTTCAATGGAAAATTTGGAGAAGAGAAATTTGAAATCATTTTGCCATTTTAGAAATGATTTGTATTGAGTTTTATTGCAACAACAACATTCTTTGAGTTTTGTGTATTTTTGTGGATTTTATTTTCCTCTGAAAATATGTTCATGTTTTAGGAAATCTTTTTATTAAAATTTAGATATATCATATACCTATATAATGCTTTATTTATTATGTTTATTTTTTTCGTTCTCTGTTTAAAAGAAAAGGGGAAAAGATTTCAAATTAGGAAACCCCCGGCGCGACCCACTTTTCTCTCTCTCCCTCGGCCACCCCACGCCCGCAGCGGCCTGCCCCGGCCACGCCCGCACCCGACCCTCTCCCGATTGGCCACCCGATCGCTCCCTTTCCCTTTCCTCTCAGCGACAGGCTGACCCCACCCCTTTCTTCAACCCCTCGTCCAGCAAACCTCGCCAGAACGCGTTCGACGCCGCCGCGGTTCCGATCTTCCATGGACCGTGATCCCGAGCAACCCCTCCTCCAAGAACTCCTTTCCCCATAAATACCCCTCTCCATCGACCCGTCCCCCTCTTTTCCCCGCACTGAGAACCCTGCCGCCTCCTCAATTTCTCGCCGGAGCTCCGCCTCTGCCACTGCGCCATTGCTGCCGCCCCGCTCCACTCCGCCTCTACCACCCCGGGCCTCCACTCGCTCGCCCGCATCTTCCCGTGCCCTCGCCCGACTCCCTCGACCACCGGAGCGTCGTCGCCATCATCTCCCGAAGCTCACCGGAACACCGGAACTCCGCCACCTCGCCCTGCTTGACTCCGTCATCCCCAAGCCTCGCCGTCACCATCATCGTCATCGTCGTCGTCAACTACGCCACCCCGACGCCTTCCCCGACTCCAAGGACCCCTGGAGCCGTCGCCCCGTTCATCACTGAAGCCGCCGCCGCCGTCGACCGTCGCCGGAGTTCCACCACCGCCGTTGTAAGCTCTCCCTCTCTCCTCATCGTCCGATATGTTTCGAACGACATAGATTAGATCTTAGAGTACCTATTCGATAGATGCAATTTATTTTAAGTGAACCGTCGATTTTTCTGTTTTATTTAGTTGACTGATGCGGTTCTGCTAGCTATAGGTCGTTTGCCCGTTTGCACGTATCGGCCACTGCTCTAGGCCAACCCCAAAGGGCCTTGTGGCCTCTGTCCGTTAGATTTTTTTCTGTTTTATTCTGTTTACATAAATAGTTCTGTTTTTAGAAATTCTATATCTTTTATGTTTTAGATCCAAATCGAGTGATTCTTTTTGCACCATGTCACAAATTTGTTGAAGTTTCTGTTTTCATACTTAGTTTACAAATTTGATTAATTTAAATTTGAATTATTTTAAATATGCTTCAAACACTGTTTTGGCTCTAGTTTGAATTCTAGAATAGATTTTTGATTTATTCTTTTTGCTATTGTTTTTTTTATTCTTTTGTCTATCCAGTAGCATATAGTGGCTTATTTTTAATTTATTTTAAATTAGGTTTATTGCGAAAACAATACTATTTTGCTTATGTAGTTGTTTTAGTCATATAATTAGTTTTTTAAATTAGTTTTAGTTATTATTTTTGTAATTTTTTACCTGTTGTCATATGTTTCTGTTAGACTATAGTAGATAATTTTTTGTAGTTATTTATTAGTGTTTAGCTACTGTTTTAGTATTTGTTTGTTTAGTTCATAGTGATAGTTGATAAAAATAGTTTTCATACTAGTTCTTTTTGCTAGTAAATGCTTTAGTAAATTATTTTCTGTTGTTTCATTAGAATTATATTTTCTTTGTTGTAGAAAAGTCATTAGAGTAATTTAGTGCTGTTATGATAAAACTTGTGTGAGTTAGTCTCAACTAGTTTTCCTTGAAGTTTTCCTTTGATTTTCCTTTGTTTTTATTTGAACATTATTGTTTCTTTATTGCTTTTGATTGTTGTTTTGATTGATAGGATTGTTTGCTAGGATGTTTGCTTATGTGAATGCTATGTATGTTAATATAGATTTTCAACGGCGTGACGTTTAGTTCTACCAAGTCATTATTCTGAGAGCGTTGTTATCTTCATCAAGTAATACCAAGCAAGTTCACTTTGACCATATTTTTCATACCTATGTTTTATTTGCATGTAGTAGCACCCTTTCAACAATCCCTCCAGTAGTGTTATTGAATCTTGTACCTGAGTAGAATGCATGAGGTAGGAACCCATTTCCCTGTTACAAGCCCGAGACGTTGTTTAGTTTCAATGCTACGCTATAGTAGACGGGGTTGGTATAAGTGCTCGGGAGTGGTGTGAGAATGGAGGACTCTACGTCAATGATGACAATTTCATGATGGCATCTGCAAGGACTGCATCTCCATGACCTCAAGACTTCAAGACTCGAGACAAGAATTCAATACACACTACTGGGTGAAGGACGGATTTGATGGGCACCCTGGAGCAACCAGTGGATGTCCGGGATGCATGGAGAAGCGCTATGACATCTTGCGGAAAGCTTCACCCAGACTCAAAGAGACGGAAGAATACTTCATGCCCGGAAGCTTAATTACATGTGCAACCACAAGTCATTATGGGCTCTGACTTGGTTAACCTTAGTTGTGACTCTAGCTGGGACGGTGCTAGCAGATGCAGAACCACGGTAGGATTGGATGAGCACCGGATAGTGGTCAGGGGAACTCTTCTGAAGACCATGTTTCGATCGTCCCGTTCTCAAACGATCTGAAGTGCGAGGACGAAAAGGGAGGGATGGAATCTTGTGGGTAAAGTGCACAAACCTCTGCAGAGGGTTAAAAACCTAATCGATTAGCCGTGTCCCCTGTTACGGACAATTTGAGCATCTGGACTTGGATCTATCTCAGAACTCTCAACACCGGACTGATAACTTAATTGCATATAGAATAGTTTATCATCTGTTTTCTCTTATTGTGATCTTGCCGGTACGTTCAATGTACTGACCTACACGACTGCAACGTATTATGTTGCAGGATTATTTCCTACGACGAGTGAGTTCCATTGTTGGGTTACGGTCTACGCTCAACTTGCCGATGGCGTTGATGGGACTCCACACCCGTTTGATTGTTTGCACTGAGACTTATGATGTATATATCAGTTTTACGTTATTTATACATGTGATTGCACTTTGATATATACATTGATATACTGTGTGTGCCAGCATACTGATCCAGTGATGGCACAGATACACAGAGGCT